TGTTTTCACTTTGTCATTATGGGGTACTGAGTGTAGATTAATGAGAAAAAAAAAATGAATTGAACAATTGTAGTTTCAGGCCGCAACATAACAAAATTGAAAAAGTGAAGGAGGTCTGAATATTTTCCGAATGCGCTGTATATTGAGGAAGACTGTATTAGATAATAATACCAGTCTGGAAACCATTCCTTTTTTCTACCCCCAACCCTCACATCCTCTTCCTCAGCTGAGAAACAAACCAATGAAGACTTGTTTGCTATATTCAAAAGGGCTCTTTGATCATTTTCATTTGTCTTTACAATTTTTATGAAAGAACAAATTAAAAGGAAAAAATTGCCATGTTATGATATCTTTCTAAACTGCCCCCCAATCTTGTGCTGACTTTCTGTAGTAGAAGGAGGGCCCCATCCAATGACAATAGTAGATCAGCCCACCTTTGCCATCAACAAAACAGACTTAACCAGAAGTGTCCAGACTGTTTAACTGAAGGCTTCGACTGCTTGAGGGCTAATAGATGAGAGAGCCAATATTTTTGTCTAGAGTTAGACAGGTGACCTGTGAGTATGCTTAACAGTCACTGCTTGTTTGCTTAAGTGTGCTTTACACAAGCACTGAAGAAGCCCAGTGTTTGCCCAGCTGGTGAGAAGAATTTTGGCTCATCGCTGGTGCTCTGGGCTTCAACTGAGCTGATAAAAATCTGCAAACTTTCCACTCTGAAAGGTGCCTGAAAACTAGCTATCCTATTTCCATCTCCCTCCTCTCTCCCCACCTCTTTTGTGTCACATCATAATTTGTAAGTTGGAGGGGAGGGATTGTCTTTGTAAGCTCTTTTGGGGGACTTATTAATGAAACAGTAGGATACAAATGCAGTTAAGTAAATAAAATTGGCTCACCAGGTGTCTGGCACCTCAGATCTGGCTTTGTCAATGGCTATTTCCTTAGTTAAGTTTACAAGTGGCAATCTAAAAATCAGCCGTTATCACAATAGCCACCTTCAGTGTTACATAAGACATCTATGGAGAAGAAAGCAATCTTAGGAAGGAGCAGAAGATGGATGCAGAGGATAGAAACATATCAGGGTTTAATTGGCTGCATGGTAGAGCTAGCAAGAAAGGAAGCATACTTGCCAAAGATTCAGTTCGAAAAGGTGTTTAGTTTCAGCAGTAAACCTAATCAATTATAGGATTAAATCTGGAATTTTGAGAGAAATTACTAATATGTAGTTTCACAGTAATATATTATTTGGGTGTTTTTGCTGCTCAGATCTTTTGAGGAGAAGTGGGATGTCAATGATATAAATAAATAATGTAGCAAGATTAATAAGAATACAGAAGGAAAAAAAATGGTAGTATAAAACCCAGAATCTGGGTTTGTTCATCTTGCTGAGTCATGGTTTAATCAAGGTTTATTAAATAAGCCATAATTGGATGAATTTATACAATATTCTCAACCATAAACCATGGCATTTAACATTTGTCTGCTATCTTATATTGATACGGACCTTTGTTTTCATGTTTGAAACTGGCCATGTGAGCTTGGCCCTCCATGGGCTTCATCAAAGAAACCTTAATGTACAGATTTTAAATGATATCAATTTGTGGACAAAATTTGTTTATATGGAGGAGGAATTGTACACCAGCTTACCTAGATCTATCATTCTCCAGATCTGTTGGGACTGCAACTCTCATAATTCCCAGCCATCATGTTTTTTGACTGAGAGTTTTGGAAGTTGTAGTCTCAACATACTTGGATGTTGCAAAGTTGGAGAAAACGGACATATAGTGCAATAGCTCTTGAATAAACTTCTCACGAATGCATATATGTACAAGCGCATGTTTCAGAGAGACTATAGTAGTAAGACTGTGGTCTTTCCTTGATCTACTGTTGATCTTTTGGTTGTCTCTTAAAACATCCTTGGACAGGATTCAGGTTAATAATAGCCTCAGTTGTGTAAAGTAGAGGGTTTTTTTTCACAGTAGCTTGATTGTGGATTCTGGAACAGCACTGTAACTATTTTTAATCATCTGCTGACTGGATGGTTAAACCACATGACTAAACTTAACACTGTGTATGAGGGAAATGACATTGCCATGAAACATTTAGAATTACTTTTTCACTTTGGCATGTGGTGGGTTCCCATTCCACATCCTTAACATTTCAGGCAAGTGGTATCTACCAGTGGTTAAAAAGACAGCGTTCCCTCTCCATTGTTGATAGATGTAAAATAAGGCAGTATGCCAGCTTAGCCATGTTGTTAAACATCTATGGTTTTTATGGAGTGCTGGAAGATTCGCTTCAAACAATATTAACAAGAGAATCAAAGGAGAAAGCTGTCTGTTATAGTTAACTTATGAGTGTCTCACTTATGGGTTGTAGAGAACATAAAGGAAACACCATGGGGGCTCAGCACAAAAAAAAAGGCATGGCCAGGGCATGTTTGTACCATGGTTGGGTGCATGTGGGGAAAATCCCAGTGTGAGAACTTCTTCAAAAGAAAAATAAGAAAAGATCTCCAAATGGGATATATTTATAAAAGCATGGTTTATATAGTGTCCCAACTTTTTTTATTAGATAAACTATAATTGGCTGAGTACACATACCACTTTATACCTTAAAATATACTTTACAAACCATGATT